CAAATGCATATACTCCAAATCTTGTCACGGATTTGGAGTGTGGTGTAAAGTTTAGAAGATAGTGCAGCGTGGCGTGTACTGTCTCCAAGCCCGCGCGCCGCGTAGTCATGCTGCGCACTGTTGACAGGCGCGCCTGACTACAATTGAGCCCAAGGCTCAAGCCCCCGCGCGTGCTAGGTATGCCTACCCGCCTTGGATACGTGCATAACCCCCTCTGGGTTACCAGTATCCAAGGAAATGGGCCACAAAGCCCCAGAAACTCACTATGCACGTGTCAACAAAGCCCCACACGTGTAATAAAAATATAAACACGCTAGAATATTCTTGAATATACTACATTAACTCTGTATATTCTATCTTCCATTTTGTAGCACGTGTAACAAGCCCCAGAAACCAGTTCTGGCTTATTCTGTGGCCCATTCCCAAGGAAATAGCTCCACGTAACAGACTAGCCCCTACCCACAGGTTCCTAAGGGATATTCTTGGTTCAAATAAACTCGTGCATGGCCCCTTGGAGCTTCTAGAATATTATCCCCAAGGTTTCAGCCCTTGTTGCGTCACCATGTGGGCTAAAATGGGCCCAAAAGCGCTCCCAAGACCTACTAAGCTCCCCTGAGCAACCCCTGAGGCCTTCCACAGGTATTTAAAGGGCCTTCTGACCGCCCAAATAAGGATCCCCCAGCTTTACAATACCTTATAGAAATTTACTTACCATTTACAAGTCCCCTACACTTGTAATTAGCCTAGTTACTACTATAAATTGCTGTTATTAAGCCTCAAGAACCCTCAAGAAACTCCCCAGTGATCATCCAGCACCCAAAATCAACCTTTCTGAGCGCTCCCAACTGTCCAGTTTCTACTAAGAAGATCCTCAAGACCCCTTAGGATTATTACTAGTAAGTAATAACCCTTTCTTGAAGATTTTCCCCTTAAAATTATCTTCTGGGATTTAAACCACACCTGTTACAGGCCCCAGTGTATCAGGTACCTAAATCCTCTGCTTTTTGCACGATACCTTAGAGGGATTAAACCACCCCTGATTTATCAGGCCCCTCTGGTTTTATTTATATTAATTTTATTAATATAAATTGGCCACTTTTTGGATTTAATCCATAAATTCCACGTAATTCTTTTGAATTACTTGTACCAGTTTTATCCCAGAGTTTTTTCCATAAAAACTCTTATATTTTGCACCTTGTGTAGCTAGAGGACACTTGTCTTGGCATCACATAGGCTGACATGGTCAAAGTCACTGTGGAGGAAAGAAGACTTGACGTCAAAAGAAGCCACCGGCCATTTAAACCTGGCAGCCATTGCAAGAAGCAGCCGGAGAGAAGAAAACGTGGGAGTAGGTGCAAACGTCTTGCCAATGTTCACTCCGTGGACTTGACAAAAACCTTGCACAACAATATGGGCCTTGAAGCGGGTAATGTCCCCCTCCTGGTTCCGTTTGAGGGCAAAAACCCATCGGCAAGTGAGGATTTCCATTTCGTCCAAAAGTGGAACTTCTTCCCAGACCCAAAGTTGGAGCATCATTTGGATTTCATCATTTCAAGCCTTCAACCATTCAGTGCTAAATTCTGACTTGAGTGCCTGGCCATAAGTGTTTGTCTTGAACTTCAAGCTCCCTGATTTGGGAAAAGTCACCAAGATGATAAGCTTGTATAGAATTCAAAACCGCATTGAGTGTGCCAGAGTTTGTAAATTGAGAGGGCAAATCATCTTCATGGAAAATGACAGATGCGCCAACTTCCAACATGTTTGACACAGGATTCCACAAACCCCAACCATGCAACGTGTCGGAGATACCAACATGAATCAACGGAGTAGATGGAGGAACAAATTGTTTCAGATACTTGATGTTGTGAAGGAAAGCATGACACCCGAACACTTTGACCATGTCAAGAGAAGGAGCTTTCCCCAAACATAGTTCATAAGGCGTTTTGACAGCGTTGTTGTGAACAATTCGATTGAAGATGAAAGCCGCCTGTTTGAGAGCAAGGAACCAGAGACTGTTTGGAAGTTTAGCATGGACCAAAAATGTACGTGCCATTTCAAGAAGGCTTCCGTTAGTGCGCTCCACGCTGCCATTCTGATGATGTTCATATGGGACCGACATCTCATGACAAATATCGTGTTTCTTGAGATAATCATTGAACTTGATGGAGATAAATTCACCCCCGCAGTCTGATCAAATGGACAAGACATCATGAGAAAAATGTTTTTTGAAGTTTTCAATCTATTTGATGACTTCCTTTGCCGCGAGATCCTTTGTCTTGAGGCCAAAAACCAAAGTCATGCGTGAAAAGACATCATGAATGACTAATCCATAGCAACTACCATCCAAAGCAGCGGGGAAAGGTCCGACGAGATTGACTGAAACAATAGCACCAGGTTTATCTGCAACACATTGGGTGGGGGACTGAATGGGTTTGTGCAAACTCTTAGCCAGTGAGCAGGAGTTGCACTTCCTCATTGATTGAACCAATGGTTTGTCCAGTAATCCAGCGACACAATTGTGAAAAATTGACTTATTCAAGGTCCTCATTGCTAGGTTACCCAGACGTGCATGCCACAGTTGCAATGAAAGAGAGGAAACATGACAAGAGACAGGAGGAGAACAATGGGGAGGAAAAACACCAGGACACAAAGATGAAATGAACCATCAATAGTTATCGGAGTATGATGGGAAAGAACAATCATGTTGAGAAAAAATAAAAACCCCATTCCGGAAACCAATAGATCCATCCCACTTGTTGAAAAAACCAACCAATAAGACAGTGCCCCAAACCTGTTTGCACAAGAGGACGTTGGAGAGATAGAGGTAACCATGAGCAGTTGGGATCTTGACATCACCGATTCCTTCTATAGGAATGCATTCTTTGGATGCCACACGTAGTCAAATGTTAGCTGGGCGAAGGGAAGTGAAAAATTCAGATTGAGACGTTACATGATTGGTAGCGCCCGTGTCACATGGGATATCGTCGGCCTTGTCAGGATTGGCCAAGACAGACGCAAGTGTTCCATCCAAAACAATCAGTCTACCCGACAAAACACTTGACTTCTTGGGTTGCCTGCTTGAGGGTCGTCCAAAGGAGGGAGCCCACACTTGACTCTAGGACAATCCTGGGCCAAGTGGCCCCATTCCCAGCACATGTTGCAAGAGAATGCTGCCGTAAGATATTTCTGACCCCACGAGTCAGCAGGAGGATCAGGTTGCTTGGTCAAATGGTTTGTCGGATTTGATTGACCACCACCACAACCGCCTCTGCCAGAGCCAAAACCACACCCACATAATCTGCGTCACAAATTAGAAACACGCTGAGACGATGTAAGACTCAAAAGCGATTATGAAACCCTTTTGCTGAATGGAGAAGGGTATGTTGGAGTTGCAAGCTCTGCCCTTCTATACTATCAGAATAACAAGACCACCAAGCTTAGCTTGGCAATTTTATATATAGTGATAGGGATAAGTTCGAGATGAAGCTGCCGATTGATATGTGTGAGGGTATAAAGATGTTGTTGACTGTTGGTTATATTGATGAAGTTGTTGTTGATGGATATGGTTCAAGGCACTTTTGGTTTATGATGATGATGAAAGTGTTAAATCTGTATTTCAATGTATATAATTCTGAAATTGTAATGTGGCTATGACTTGTAGTTATGAAATAATATGTAAGATGGATTTATTTATAAGGGTGGTTGAGATGATCTGGTCCACTGGTGGGATGATGGTCCCCTGGTGGGATGATGGAGGGAACAACTGGCAGGCAGAGGCCTCCTTATATAGACAAATGTGAGGGATTTTGGCCCCAGGGTACAGGCTGAATGATACTACTACAAAGGGATGCATATGAATGAATAAAGGGACGCATATGTATGATCAAAGGGATGCATACATGCAATATCACTAATACAAAGGGATTCAAAACAACGTAAAGGTATTCAATTTACTACAAAGGTATTCAGTATGCAATATGCATCCTGTATTCATAATGACTATGACTAGAGTGAAGAATCCAAGAAATATCCCGTGACAGGTTGAAATACGTGTAACTTCTAAACTATAAGAGATAAGGGTATGGTTGTAGTGGGTGACTAGGGGTTATTTTACCTGAGGATTCCATTTTTGATGTCATTTTTACCCTATCTTGAATGTATAAAGAGATAATGAGAAATTTTTATATTTTCTGCGTAGAAACACAGTATTATTCACCACATCCTCCCCCAACTTATTGGCTGTCCCCAGTCAATTCTGATTCTGACTGTGTTTTGGAGCTAATATTACAAATAAAAAACTAATAAAAAGAATGAGTTTGGCTGTGTGTATCTGAGATTTGTCTTGAAGTGTGTTGAGTATTGTGGTGAAAATCATCCGTGGAGTCCTGATTGGCGAAGAATTGATGAGATTTTGTTACGTAGTGTTGATTTGTTTCAGATTTTTACTTGATCTGTCCAAGAAATATTGATGTCGGGGTTGAATTTGATTTTTGAGTCTAGTTTTAATCCAATTTGATTTTGATGAGATGGTAAATTTGGCGGTAGGCGAAGTGTTTGAGTTTGATTATTCAGTTTGTTTGGGGCTTGAGGTTATTCCGTATTTGATTGATAACAGTAAAAAATTCCACATTGTTTTTGACTTAATGTTTAGTAGGAATTGGGCCAGATGAGGGTTTTTGGAACCCAATTTAAACTGTGAATTTTCTGAGTTTTAGGTTTTGTTGTATGGAATTGTATAGAGTTGGAAAAAAACCTCTGATTTTGTTGGCTTTATTTCATGACCTCAACAAAATAGGTGCACATGTGCTTAGGTACTGAAGTGTGGCACAAAAAGTTGGCACAGTGTGGGAGTTGAATACAAGTCCACAGCACCAGTCACAGTTCTTACTGGTTCGACTACAGGGAATTTGGGTATGATTATGTATTTGAGGTTGTTGTCGTCCGATCGCGCTTGGTTCGCCTTTCCATGCCCTGTCACAACCTGTGACAGGGTCCGATCGATGTTAGGACTCGCGCTAGCTCCTCTCTGTGGGTCCTCCTTCCAAACTCCTCCCATCTTCTCATCGATTCGGTCTGCCGACGATCCTCAAGCTAATCCGACTATCGACGATCCTCGCGCTAGTCGATTATCCTTCCCCGCCGGTAAGTCTTCCAGTCTTCTAGTTTCCTTACTATTTTCTTTTTTTTCTTTTTTTAGTTATTTTCAAATTACTAATCTAAAAGACGAACTATCTTTCTTTGAATAGTTATCGATCGGCTCTCGACTAGCTCCGCGGCAAGTTTTGCGCATAGCTTCAGCAGTCTAGGTGGGTGTCCTTTCGTTTTCGGGTTCTCTTCCTTTTATTTTTGCTAGTGTTGTTTACTTTTACTAGCTGAAAATCAATTTTGATCTTCACTCCTTTGCTCGACCCGACTCGTTTATCCATCCCCACCGATAAGTTTCTGATCAATCGATTCTAGACTAGCCCCGCGGCGAGTTTGCGGATAGCTTCAGAATCCAATGTGAGTTCCTTTCGTTATCCGATTCTCTTCCTTTTATTTCTCTAGTCTTGTGTAGTCTCTCTAGCTGACGATTGTTTTTGATCGGCACTCCTTTGTTTGTTAAGTAGCAGCCAATGTTTTTAGCCTCTCGGTCCCGGTTTCGAATCGTTTCTCTTTCATATCAACAACCTCGTTGTTTTGCATAAAGGATGCAAGATGGCTTCAATCGTTCGAAAAGGAAAGTTACCCCCGCTGAAGTCGAATCGATTGATATTGTCAAGAAGTCTCAGTGCCCATAGGTTGAAATCGAGATGTCTTCATTTTTCTATAAATGCCACCGACTTGTCGCCGGTTTCTTTTCCTCCTCATCAGCTCTTCCTCCTTGATCGTGTTTATTGTTGTGCTTCCAACTCCAACGGTGGTGAAGATTAGTTAAATGATCAAGTCATCGGTACATCGCTTTTAATTCCTTCACACTGAGTAAGTAGGTTCCTGTCGTTCAAATTTGATTAAATTAGAAATTCTGATATCGTTGTAGAGGCAACAGCTTTTGTCCTTCATTCAGAGTCCAGCCGCAAGGAAAAGATAACCGTCCGAGTAGCCATTAATGTAGAGTGCCTCCGGGTCTTCAAAGCCAATTCGCGATCCTTGTAATACTATCCTGATTGATGGGAGATTTAGGTGAATAAAAATGAAAAGAAACTTAAAATGAAGAAGGAGAAAAAAAAAAAAAATCAAGTAAGATGATAAGAAGCTGTACCCCTCCCCCAACTTATGAGGTTGTCCTCAACCTTCAGGAGCTGATTTAAGGTAAGTCTAAGAGATATGGAATTGATAATATAGAGAAGAGAGAAATTGAGAAAAGAGATGAAGATATGAAAGTTTATTGGCTGAAAATTGTAGAGATAAGGAAAACAGAAAAGAGAAAGTGAGGATAGTAAAAATGTGAGTCAAGTATGAAATATTCCTCCCCCAACTAATGAGTTTTTCCTCAACCTTCTACTCAAAAAAAAAAAAAAAAAAAAACTGATGAAGATGATAAGTAAGTGATTGAGAAAACTGATTTATTGAAAAAAAAATTAAACCCAGGCAATGATATGAGATAATAAAGAAGAAATAAAGCAGACACTGCATCCAGAAAAGAGTTTGAGATAATAAGGAATTGATAGAAAGTACGGAATTGATAGAGAGTAAGGAATTGATAGAAAAGACTTTGAGATAATAAAGAAACTGATATAGAAATTTGATCCAGAAAAGAGTTTTTAGATAATAAAGAAACTACGAGAGAACTTCAATCCAGAAAGAATTTGAAAAAGAAATGCAGTCCAGAGAATAGTGTGAGATGATAAATAAAACTGATAAAGAAATTCAATCCACAAAAGACTTTGAGATAATAAAGAATCTGATATATAAAAAAAACTAATCAAGAAAAGGCTTTGAGATGATACAAAACTGATATAGAAATTTGATCCAGAAAAGATTTTTTAGATAATAGAGAAACTATGAGAGAACTCCAATCCAGAATTGACTTTGAGATAAAAAAAACCTGAGATAGTATTCCAATCCAGAAATGACTTTGAGATAATAAAGAAACTGATATAAAAAAACTCAAAAAATGACCATAAAAACAGGATATAATAAAAAAAATACCAAAGGTGTGTTTTGGATGAGATACTTAAGGATAATGAGGTGGGTTAATTTGGGGATAGTGTTAATGTGAGTAAAGTATGAAAGTTTTCTCCCCCAACTTCAAACATTTATGTCTACTGACAGTCTTTTATTTAGTTATTTTCTGTAAGTTGATGATTTAGCTAACCAATTTTTGCTATTTAATAGATTTTTTAGATATTAAGCAAGCTTTTTGATTATTAATTAAGGGATATAAGGACTATGTAAGGGAGGAAGGGTTTTAAATGAGTGATTAATAAAGGAATGTGAGCTCCTCCCCCAACTTTTTTACAATTATTAAGACAAATTTTCAACAATTATTTAATGCTCCTTTAATTTAGTTTTCCATGAGCTGTATTATTTGATTTCAAAGTCCAGATTTCTTGAAGGTGTATTTCCAATTGGTTGAAATTGTGAGTTGTCCAAATTCAAAGTTCTTGAGAATTCTTTTTCCAATCCGAGTATCTTGTTGAATTAGGCTGATTTGTGGCAATTTCTTCTGTGTGACTATTTAGTAGAACTTGAATTATTCAAAAACTATGTATAACTAATTTTAAAATTGTGCTGATGATCTTCATTTTATTTTGTTTTTATTTTTCTTATTTAAGGGAATGTGACTTTTAAAGTGAGTGTTGGTTGATGCAGTTTTTCCTCATGCCTAGGAGGCTTTGATTTTTACAGATTTTGATTCCCACCAGGTTTTGATCTTCATCTGCCAGAGTTCATCCCATTCACATTCCTTGTATACATCTAGTGTTGTGGGTATGTCTTCATTTCCATCGTCGATTGGCACCAATTGTTCAATTGTTAATGTTTTCATCCGTTCCATTGTTCATTCTTCCGCATAAATCAATCCAGCTGCTCTGCACGCCATCGTTGATTCTTCCATCCACAAAATTTGTCCAAGAAATCGCTTATGAAACGTCATAAAATGATTTGCATCATAGAAGAGGCTAGGTTCCGCAAGGATTTGAGTTGGCCATTGGCTTTTGGTATACAAGTGGCATCGTAGTTCCGAATTCGAATTAAAAGCTGAAGTTGATCCTGAAGGTCTGTCAAAGATTTGTTTCCTAAAAGGGGTTGATGGTGCAAATCCGTCTTCCAAATCTGTTGTACTGAACGGTAAACTCATGTTGATTGTGATTGATTTTCCTAGTTTTCCTTACTTAACGCTCCTCTGATAACTAAACTAACGGTTGCTCTGAAAAAGAAACAATTAATACTATGGTCTCTGGTCTCTTTACCAGGGCAAGTTTTATGATTCTCTAAAATAATAATTCAAATAATACTGGGAATTTCTTCTTCTAACAGGATCTACTTATCCAAATCCTTCGGTGGTCTTCCTTCTTTTGGTCAATAAGCAGCTGCTTCCTTCAAATAGTTCCTAAGTTCTCTTCAAACAGTATCCAAGTTATCCAAATCCTTCGGTGGTCTTCCTTCTTTTGGTCAATAACTGGCTGCCTCCTTCGAGATACTCGTTTTCAGTTGATGGTTACACTTTCTTTTTCAGAGGTTCGTTGATTGTTTCGTTGAATTGTTTTATTGAAGTTTGACTAGTTGATCAACAGAATAACTGAATATGCCGTTGAGTTGTTACAGATATAGTTGATGAATTCGTTCCGTTTTCCGCTAAAGTAATGATCCTTGGTCGATGTCTTCTTGATTATCTTCTTGTTTCGTTTAAAATTGGTCACACGATTCCAATCAGAGGTTATCCTATCACGTTGGGGACTCCCTTGTAAGACTCAAAAGTGGTTATGAAAACCCTTTGCTGAATGGAGAAGGGTATGTTGGAGTTGCCAAGCTCTGCCCTTTCTATACTATCAGAATAACCAAGACCACCAAGCTTAGCTTGCATTTTTATATATAGTGATAGGATAGTTCAGATGAAGCTGCCGATTGATATGTGTGAGGGTATAAAGATGTTATTGACTGTTGGTTATATTGATGAAGTTGTTATTGATGGATATGGTTCAGGGCACTTTTGGTTTATGATGATGATGAAAGTGTTAAATCTGTATTTCAATGTATATAATTCTGAAATTGTAATGTGGCTATGACTTGTAGTTATGAAATAATATATAAGGTGGATTTATTTATAAGGGTGGTTGAGATGATCTGGTCCACTGGTGGGATGATGGTCCCCTGGTGGGATGATGGAGGGAACAACTGGCAGGCAGAGGCCTCCTTATATAGACAAATGTGAGGGATTTTGGCCCCAGGGTACAGGCTGAATGATACTACTACAAAGGGATGCATATGAATGAATAAAGGGACGCATATGTATGATCAAAGGGATGCATACATGCAATATCACTAATACAAAGGGATTCAAAACAACGTAAAGGTATTCAATTTACTACAAAGGTATTCAGTATGCAATATGCATCCTGTATTCATAATGACTATGACTAGAGTGAAGAATCCAAGAAATATCCCGTGACAGGTTGAAATACGTGTAACTTCTAAACTATAAGAGATAAGGGTATGGTTGTAGTGGGTGACTAGGGGTTATTTTACCTGAGGATTCCATTTTTGATGTCATTTTTACCCTATCTTGAATGTATAAAGAGATAATGAGAAATTTTTATATTTTCTGCGTAGAAACACAGTATTATTCACCACAACGACATGCCCATCAAAGAAGAAGCAGAGGATGCCAATTGATGAAGCTGACAAGCCATACTGAGGATTTTTTTGGAACCAATGTTAATGTCCGGCTTGATTGTCAGCCTCTATGCTACTAACCTGTAAGGGTTGTGCTCTGAGTGTTAACAAGAAGAGTAATGAAGACTATTTATTCGTGTTTAAATCCCTCAACCTGTAAAAGAAACAGGCAGGAGTCAGTGAGGAATGGTACTTCTACTGCTGACTCATCCAATTATTCAATTGGGCATCCGGATCAATCCTCTTGCATGAACTAATAGGCTTCCAAGGTGAGGACTTCTTCAACTCACTTGGGATAAGTCTTTTAACAACAATTCAGATTAATAAGTGTATCAACACTTAAGGACCAGAATTGTTTAACCTGGGGGATAATTCTTTATGCAATAGAGATAAGTAGAAATGCC